AGCAGCAATGGTACAGGCCATTTGCCCTCCTTTGGAATGCCTATGACGCCTTTTCCTCTCCTTTCCAACCCCCCATTCAACTAGCCTTAGTATGCTCCATTCACCCCCATCACACGATTGGTATGGGCCATTTCCCCCTGAAAGTTCCATTCCCCTTCATAGTAGCATTGGTATCCCCCAACCCCTCCTGCACAGCAGCACTTTGGTTTGATCCACTTCCTGCCCTTCCCCCCTTCCCTGCCTCGACCTTTGCTTGCTGAGGTTACTGCTGCAGGGCGCAAGGCATAGGGCTGCGGGGCCCCCCCCCAGGGGCAGGGATAGGGACCTGGGTGGGGATCTGTCCCATTAGACCCCAGTTTGCCCAGTGCATGAAAGGCACAGGCACAGCGCCACATGTGCAGCTCTCGTGTGTCCGTGGAGGGGTTGCAATAAGAGAACAGAGCTTGAAAAGAGCCAAGAAGCAAACCCACTGTAGACGCAGGCGGGGAAGGGGGGCTACCTCGTCCTGGGTGCAGGAAGTGAATGGTAGCGCTATCGCAAGTTTGCAGGGAGTCTGGATCCTGCAGCCCTCAGTGATGTAACAACAGGGTTACTCCTGTCCTGCGCTGGTGTAACAGTTTGTCCCTGCAGCCCTGAAAGCTGAGCACTTGAATACAGAAATATAAATCCCATTATGCAGGGGAAGGAACTGCGTTGCTCAAGGCCAGATGCCGAGTCATGGGGACAATCAAGAACACAGTCCAGATGTCCCAACTCCTCAGCTGCAGACTGGAAATCCTTAAGGCCGGCTGTTGCCAAACTAGGGGTCATGACCCCAAATGGGTTGCCAGTGGGATTATGAACCACACAGATTATTACCCTGGCTGCATTCGCACCAGAAGGGCGGTTAGTTTGCGGTTTTGAGCCTGCCAGAAAGTGGGTTTGAAGTCCTACTCCAAAAAGATTGGGAACCATTGTCATCCCTTTGGGCAGGGACTTTGATATTCTTTTGAACCTGACAGGTACTGTGTAGCACCTGCCGTACTGTATACGTAAGAGAAGTGTAGGTCAGCACTTCTCAACCTTTCCAGATTTGAAGCACCTCTCATTAGACTCAAGGCCCCTCGGAAAATGCCAGCTCATAGTTTTTGCTCATCTTTTGACTACAGAAAAATAATAGAGCAATTATTTGCAAAGAACTCAGAAAGATCAGAGCAGGTCAGAATGCTTTTAAAACTATGAAGCCCTGTTTGAAATCTCTAGATTGGTTATGTGAATCAGGTCTAGACACCTAGCTGTGCTAATGCTGTGCGGCACCCTTGAACAGATCTCAAGGCACCCTGGTTGGGAATCACAAGTGTAGGTGAAGATGGAGGTGGCCGTTACATGCCACAACCAACTGATGGAGGGAGTTAGCTTGTTTCTGCAAGTTGGGCTCCCAGCATAAGATGGGGGTTACCTGGGATGACTTGCTTCACCTGAGATGCTACAAACTTTGTGTTCTTTCCTCCCCAATCCAGCTAATTTCTCAGCTGTGTAGAAATGGGAGTTGCTGGATTGCTGACTGCAAAAAAAACCCCTGGAAATAAAACTGTGAGCCTCTCAGGTAAAGTGGAAAAATGAGAATGATGTGATGAGCCCAGCCCATGGCAGGAAAATACCAAGCATGGCAGAAAGATTAGCAGGACTCCATATCTGCTGCTGAAATTCTGCCACAGACACAGAGGACAGGGGAACCATTTACTCTCTTAAGTTTTAGGTGCTGGAAGTGGGTCACCATGCAACTATGATGCCTGGGGCAGTAATGACAGAGAAAGCTGGGCTATCAGCCCAAGTATTCCCCTCTGTTAGGAGAGCACAGGAAACAAACCAGGAATATAAGGAGCCAGGATTTGAACACAGCAATATGCAAAAGGCCACAGGGTTATTTTCAAGGACAATGACATTTTGTAACAACTTCCATGCTTCTTTAGAGATAATGTCTTAAAAGAAGAGCTACCTTCCTGTGGGAACCAACCTTGCAGGATTGAGACGGAAAGAAAGAGAGGAGCCACACCAGAGTCAGGGAAATCAACCTCACCACACCCTCTGCAGCTGAGTGTGGTACAGAGATACCTGCCTCTCTGGCTCCCTTCTTTTATATGAAAACATCACATTCATCTTGCAGTAATCATCTTCTCAGAAACACTCGCTCATCAAACTTTGTGCATCTCCTACTTGCTTCTTCCAACTCAGCGACAACATTGCCTCGCCATCAGGGCAGCATTTCACAGATGGCCCTGGGGATGTATTCAGACGGTTCACAACCAACAGGCCAAAAGCATGTGTCTGAATGAGTCGGTTTAGTGGTACTGTTACAAAGCATCAGAACAACAGTCCTGGAGAATGAACTCCCTTTCATTATTCATGGAACAGGGCCACAGTAGGCAGCAGCAGAGCAATTAAAAAGATTCTGGGCCTGTCAGCTAACATGGTTATTTTCACTACACAGGACAGCAAGGGAAGAATCCAGGACATCCTGAATCCAGGACATCTGATAACAAAAACACAGTGTCTGAGACAAATTCCAGCTCAGGTAGTTGCATCCTGCTTCCATTAAACAGTTTCGGTTGGAGATGCTGTTCCTCAATGCCTGTCTGACGATATGTGATGCCACCTTGTGCTCTTAACCATGTTGCATCCAAAAAATAGCTGTGGTTTAGAAACATTTTTTGGCAGGAGAGAGGTCGCAGGATGTCTGAATGCACAGACATATGCGAAACACATGCTCTTAAAGCAGATCCATTCTGTTCAGTAATTTTGGAGGCCTTACTACAGAGGAAGGCATTGTCATGATTGATAATTGAAACAACAAGTCAGTTCTTAAAAGCTGTAGTCAAAGCCACAGCTTTTTGCATTTACTGAAATACAGTCATTGTATTCCTTGCCCATCTCCCAGCAGGTGTCATACATAATGTTGGTTGAGATCCCACGTGCAGAGAATATAAGGGCAGGTAAAAGGGGCATTTCTTTGTCTGAAGTTAGATACATACTGTTCTTTACCTGCTGCTCTTAGAGGCATCTTTATGTGTCAGCAGCACATCTAACATGCAGGCGAGATCAGGAGGAAACTGGCAGTGCTGTAACCTGTGATAAAAAACATGAAACCACATGTTAGCCAACACAAGATGATTGCAGCACAAAAGCCAAATACAACATAATGGTCACTGTTGGGAGAAAATCTTGCCAGGGAGGAAGAAAAAACAAATGACTGTGAACCCTGGAGAAAATCATGGTTTATGTTGCTTACCAAACAAAGCAATTTGATTTGTGCTAGAAGTCAGCAGCTAGCAATTACAGGAGATGGAGCGCACTGGAAAAGAACAGGGTACAAAGAGGATGCAGAAGCTTGCCAGGTGGCTTTTCTCAGTTCATAAGCAGACTGTGGAGATACACTGATAGAGTAAACAACAGCGAGGGGAAGAATTATTTAGGGTGGTACAAGTGCAGAATAACACTGGCCCTGACTATCCCCCAGCTGTGGGATTTGCCACAAAATCCAATCCTTGCTGCAGCAATCTCCGTTTCCTTTCAGCAAATTCTGCTAACAGCTGTGGTTGCAAAGGGAACCTTGAAAACATGACCCCAAGGGAACTGGTCCACATTTACCTTCCTGAGTCTGCAGGGAGCTTGAAGCACTACTGCTGAGTGATATGAAAAGTCTGGCTCAAAAGGAAAGAATAAGGGTGTGAGGGGGGCTGAGGGCTGATCTAATACCCACTGATGCTTCTGTTGGTTTTGTTTGACTTCAGCTCAAGCCTCAGATTCTCCTCTGCTTTACTGTAACATAATCCTGTGAGAGGTAAGTGAGGCACGTATGTCCCTTTCTGCCTCAGGGTACTGACTTCCTTATAAGAAATAGATACAGGAAAAAGTGTTAAAAAACCCCCAAAGTATGATATACCCTGGGAATGCAAATAATTCTCCAGCCTGATGCTGCCTGGCTGCAAGCAGAGAGGGGAAAAAACTGGAGAAGCTCCTGGGGGCATGGGTAGAGAACAGGTTAAATAGCCAGTAGCCAGCTTCATGGGGCAGGTGCCTCCAGAAAAGAGGAAATGAGAGAGATGAATGACCCATTGATCTGCTTCCTGGTAGAGGAGTAGTGCTCCGGATCTAAGTGACTCAGAGCTAGTGAACCCTGCCCTTGCCCACATCGCTGGCTGGGAGCCACGCCGAACCAGGAAGAGACACCTCGGAGTTTGATGAAAGGTCCCAGTCTCGGCCACGTGGCATTAACTGAACAAGGAAGATCCACCCCCACTCCCAATCAAAGCAGTCACGCTGCGTGCTTTCCTCCCTGACATCACGTGGACATATAGCTCTGGGCATGGGATCAGGAAGCACATTGCCTCAGGAATGGTATTTTATAATAGGGCAATAATATTCCCCTCCCAGGATGTTGCCAGGCTTCACTAATCAGTGCACATGAAGCAAAGTACGAGGGTGCCTCTCTGGAGCATGTGGCCTTTGCATCACTTAAAACTCACACAGGCCTTGTTTGGTGGTACAGGGGATCAGATAATGCCCATGCCCAGCAGAGAAGGCCTATTTTGCACTGAGAAATCCTTGCAGAGAAAGCATAACAAGCAAGGAAAGCTTGAAGGAGGGCATCTGTGCTGTGCCGTGTATCAGGGGATCCTGATACATGGCCTCATTATGACAGCTGGGTGTGTTTGAGCCTTTTTTCTGACTTTCTGATCCAGGATTATGGGTTATCAGAGCAGCAAGTACAATGAAGGCATCATTAGAGCAGTGTCATAGCAGTTTAGGGATGTCTCAGCAACTGGAAACAATGAAAAGCATTAGAACAATGAGGGTGAATATAGCGAGCCGGCATGCTTACGGGCTTGACTCTTCTGAAAACAAGATCATTTTCTCCTCCCCAAGGTCCTGCTGCCTCTTTTGTGAGTTTTCACTGTGAGCAGAGCATGTGCTACAGTTCAGCCAGCTTCAAATACTGCATGGCCACCGCTAGAGAGCAGCGCAGCCCAGCCTTCCACGTACAGGGCCGGGAGCAGGCCAGTCTCGGCCCGTATTTAGCAACAGCGCAGAAGGCATCAGCTCATGCCAAGGCCTCTGAGACTCAAAAACTTAGAGCCCCAGAGGTGGCTATTTATCAGGCTATGATAATGAATACCTTTGATCTCATGTCACAAGTCGTTGCTTCCTTCATTTTTTCCTTTTGGACCATGGGGATTCAAAAAAAGGGGGAATGTGAAGGAGAAAGAGGTGGGACCCCATTAGTGACAACCCATCCCGTCCCCCCTCCCAGAATCCCCACCACTCCTGGCTTAACCTAGCCAAGTGGGCGGCTACATTAAAATTGGCAAGGAGAAGGCTGGAACAAGAGCTCTTCTGTTCTCAAAGCCAGCATGAAAACCCCCCGTCCGGGCCTCTTCGCTGGGCGCAGCCTGGCAGCTCTGCACTCTGCAGCACACAGTGTCTAGCTCTGAAACCAAACAAAGGCAGCTTCTTGGAAAGCTGGCTGATTAACGATCCCATCATCCCAATCTCAGGGGATAATTGCAATACTGCAGAAGCCAGCCCATCCACTCCGGCTGCTTTCTGCTGCCTTATTCAACCCACGTAGGAAGGGACAGAGGGAGCGGGGAAGGCCACGCGCTCAGTCCTGAAACCAGCCTGCATCCCGTTTCCACCCAGAGGAAAAGCCTCTCCACGTGGCAGCTTTGCCCTGGAGGTTGCCTAGCACTGCCTGGCTGAACGCCACAGTCATGGAAACAACCGATTCTCAATTATTATTGCTTTGCATTTCAGTAACACCCAGATGCTCCATCCAAGGTCAGGGCTCTTTTTCTGCTGTACAAATGCATAAGAGACTTGTAGCTTCACAGAGCTTGCAATCTCAATAGACCCGACAGATAAAGGCAGACAGAAAGGTGGGAGTATTATCCCCATTTTCTAGCTGGGAAGCTGAGACAACGGAGCAACTTGGTTCGCCCAGGGAGTCTGTAGCAGACGGCCCAGATTTCCCAGTGCCAGCAAAGTCTTTGACAAGTGACCTTCCTTCCCTTAAAACTGAAACTATTGTTTTTGTCATTCCTGAGTGGGTTAAAAGCAAGTGACTAATACCAGCTGTCAGCTGCGATAGCCACATCAACGCAGCCTCAGCACAATGGTGCCAGCTGCAGTATTGCCACCCAGCGGTGTACCCAACAGTGGGCCCTACCCCACTGCCAGCTGCACGGCCTGTCCGTGGAACGTGCCCCAGGTTTGGGGATGTACCTGCAGGAACACCCATTGCTCCTCTCCTGCAATTCAAGGAGCACACAAAATACCGATCTCACAGGGGAGACGGAGGGTGGCAGCCAGAGTTGGGCACTTATTACCAGGCAGTAGGACCAAGAAAATGAAAAAAGGGTCATGAAAGCAGTGAGATATGTGGATGTGTTGAATGTGCCCATGAGAATCTAAAGCAGCAGTTCTCAACCTTTTTAGACCCCAGGCACCCCTCGTTAGACTTAAGGCCCCCCCTTGGAAAGTGCCAGTTCTTAATTTTCACTCATTTGTCTGACACCAGCTCTTCTGTTGCAAAGAACTTGGAAATACCACAACAGGGACACAATGTCTTTAACACTATGGATGCCTATTTGAAATCTCAGGATTTATCCTGTGAACCGTGTTTGCGCCCATAACAGTGCTAACAGTGTGTGGCACCCTGCGGCACCGCTGAAAGGATTTCAGGGCAACCCAGGGTGCCGCCACACCCTGATTGAGCATCCCTGATCTAAAGTTACTTTTTGTTGCATCAGTCCATGACACTGAAGGCCTAGTTTTATTTTATAATTTTGCCAGCTTGGCAGCACTCCTTCCACATTTGTGGTTGGAGTCATTTTTTTTCCAGACTGTCTTGGACAACTATAACAAAATCAATAGGAAGGGAGAGAGAAAAGGAGAAGGAAACAAGCAGGGTGGGAAAGCTAATAGGAAACCATGCTATTTGTATGAGAGGTGGTGGGTTGGGGAAGAGATGCACTCGTGACCCCGTTCACCCCCTGCAGATGAGCTGAGCTCAATGTATCTCTGCTGCAGATCTGCAGGAGCAGTTCCCCAAAAAACTGGGTCTGACAGGATTTCTTTGAAAAATACTCCCCTAGGACCAGGCCCAGAGAAAATGTCTAACTTAGGTTTTGTTTTGCTTCTGCAGTTTTGCTCAGATGCTGGGGGCCAGGAGCGGTATCAAACCTGGAGATGTTTGCACCTCAAGAATTGGTAAGAGCTCTTGGCCAGGGTACTTTGTAAAGACATGATTTGATAGAGGGAAGAGGGGCTGATTCACAGGTGAGTTTAGGCACCCCATAGCTGAAGCGAGTGAGGAGGATGTGTGCAGGAGCAGGTTGTGATCATCCCAGTCAGGGTGTGAGTTAGTAATAGGTCCTTGGGAAGCCCTTGATGCATTGCCTTCCCCAGTACGAGAAATAAGGGCAGGTAGGAATTGTTCTGCACATAAGTTCTCTGCCGCCTGACTTGGGACAGCTTCAGTCCACTTTCTAGCATGTAGCTAGGTGGAGAATCTGGCCCAGAGGGAGGAACACAGAAAGATGGAGAGCGACTCAGAGAAATGAAGACAACTGGGTACAGGCAGCAAGGCTCGGTCTTCTGCTGTCTGAGCCTCAGAGGTTTCAGTAGATACGATAGAAGCAGGCACAGAAGCTGTGCAGAAAGGAAAACCAAGCTGAACATAGCAGCGGGGCTGATAGTGAAGAGGGGGTGCTGGATGCACTGGGACAGATTTTAATCCTCTCTTCTGGTATTGAAATAGAAGGTAGAAGACCTGGGGCAATAATGACCCTTTAGCAGGAGCTGGGATGGTATGGTGGGTCCTAAACAGCCCGTGTGGTGCAAGCTAGTTCTAGGTCTTTGGGAACCTTATGCCAGTTCAAGATCACCTGTGACAGACCTTTGTTGTGTTGTGCCCCACTTGTGTACCCCATACGTGCAGGTGTGACTGGGCAGCTGGGATGGCTAGGCAGCATGAGACAAGTGAGAAATTCAACCGGAGAAAGGCAGGCAGGGAGAAAGGGTTAATTAATAGGGAGCTGGGTGAAGTGTGTGAGAAAAACAATCTCACGGATGCAAGACTGAAGACAAGGGAGACAGCAACTGAATCCAGGAGAGTGAGAGCAAAAAAGAGCAAAGGGCAGCAAAAGAAAGCCAGGCAGTGCTAGACATCCAAAAGTATGCCATGCTCCCAGCAGTAAGAGGCTGTCTTACTGCGTTGAGATTGTGTGAGTAATAGTAGCTCAGGTGCATGGATGGGTCTGTACATTTACTTGTATTGTATAAACATTAACTACTGAGTGAAGGGTTTGTCCAAACAGCACATTCAGTATAGACCCATTTGCACATTGCTGATTGAAGCCAAGTGAGAGAAGTACAGAGATCTGGGATCTGTCACCTGCTGGCATCAAAGTTTCTCCTTTATGGGCTCTTTCCCCAGTTGCTTCTATTCAAGGGGTGCTCAACCCCTGGCTTGCAAGCCAAATCCAGTCCATAGACCTGTGACATCCTGCCCACTGGGATCTCTGCAGGCTGGAAAAAACTGGCAGCTGGGGAGTGAGGAAGCTTCATGCAGTGGGATCCAGCCTTGCCCAGGCCGTTGCCGCACAGCAGGATCAGGGACAGGCCTGCCCCTTCTGTATCCGGATCTGGCTGGGCTGCTCCCTGCCCCCTCCATGCATCCAGGTAGAGGCCATTCCACCCCACTGGCATCCAGATCATGGCTGGGCTGCTCCCCACTCCCACCCCCAATGTGTCTGGATCAGAACCAGGTTGTTCTCCATCCACCCCTCAGCACATCCTGATCGGGACAGCTCCATCCAGCCCCCCCACACACACACCCAGATGGGGACTAAGCTGCTCCCCACCCCCCTGCAGATGGATCTGGGTCAGGCTGCGCAGTCCCCTGGGCTGGATGGAGTTGCTCCACCAGCCCCACGTGCTGGACGGGTCAAGCCCACCAGCCTGATCCAGCCTGCAGCCAGATATGGTACTGCCCATCTAGCCTGTGGGGTGAAAAGATTGGGCACCACTCATCTACTCCATGCTTTAGAGACCTGGTTGAAATATAGTTCAGTCCCAGCTACACCAACAAGACTCCTACCGTGAAGTCAGTCCTGCTATCAGCAGAAGTCATATTGCATACAGGCAGAGTTTGAACCCAAAAGACAAGTGCAGGCTCTGGGGGGGATGTCACTTAAGACATTCGGAGATCAAGAAACTTGCTTTTCTCAAATGAGCTCTCTATCACAAACTGATGGAAATAAAAATGTAGAAGATTCAGTCTCCCTGCTTTAGGACATAAACGAATCTATGCGTATACTATTTGTATACACTCTGGGACAATGAATTTAATCTATCACTTATAGCAGCGGTTTCCAATCTGTGCTACGGGTACCACCAGCGGTATGCAGGAAACCTGTCAGTGGCACGTTAACCATGGGTGACTGGTGCTGCCTGAGTCAGGGGGGCACACGCGAGCACGGCCCGTCAGGGAGTGCACCCCATATGCATTGCCACTGGTGTTAACAGATTTATTATAATTATATGACAAAAATTTGCTGCTGGTACTTAAGGTTGCATTGTTTTAAATTGATGGTGTGCTATCTGTCAAGAGCTTGGGAACCGCTGACTTACGGGATAATTACTGCTAATGTTGGCTTGGCTGCCGAGGTCAACGCCCAGTGGCTAAAGGAACATGTCCGCTAATGACTACCCAGGGGCCAAGTGAAGGTCAATCCTACCGAGCATCCCTTCGGGGAGCTTTCTGGGTGTCATCAAGATTTGCACCGACTGATCCCCACATTAACCCGGCCCCCGGGGCTCCTGCACAGTCCACGCACGGGGTGGGGGTGGATTTATAACCAGTGCACTCACATGCTTCGTGTGGCACTATCAGCCATGGGAGGCTTGCGTGTCAAATGTGCTGCAGGCTTTCTGGCAGGGGCTGGTTGGGCTCCCAGGCAAGCAAGGCCAGGCCTGCTAGTGCTCAGGGAGGGGAGCACGAAGCCAGGGCTGGGCTGCTTTGCTCCAAAGATCACAGGGTCTAACACCCCAAATCAGGTCTCCATCCCCCCCCCGCCCCATGCTGTACAGGGCCAAACCAGGCAAGGCCCCGCGCATGCGCAGAGCGGCAGCCAAGCCATGCCCTGGGCCGGCAGAAGACGCACACGTGCGTCGAACGCCTGCAAGGGAGGGGGGAGGGGGAGGTGCTGTAAAGAGCATGCGTTGCGATCGCTCCCGGATGCTTTGTTCGCCCCAGGGCTGCGATTGCGCGTGCGCTGTGTAGCCCCTCCCTGCGTGCTAAGCTTGTACGCATGCGCACTGGGCCCCCTCGGTACTTTTGTTCTCGGCGGAACGAGGCAGGGCCGCTGCGTCTCTGCGCAGGCGTAATGGGAGGGGGCGCTCCATCCCCTTTTTTGTTCCCTCCCGCTTACCGCGCATGCGTACTCGGAAGCCCTGCGCTTCGCTTCTCAGCCGGCGCTTTGTTCTCGGCAGGCGGCCGGAGCCGCGCATGCGCGGTGGGTTGGCGGCGCAGGCGCAGTGTGCCCGGAGCGGCGACGGCGGCGGAGCGGGAGCGAGCGGCGAGCGCTTCCGGCCCCTCACTTCCGGTCCCGGCAGCCGCGGCCCTCGGTGTGGCAACGCTGTCCGCCCTGCG